CGACCAGGATCAGGCAAAGCCAGAATTGGTGCTTGAAGGAGACTTTCCTTGATGGCTTCAAAAGTCTCGTGGTGCTCGGTGTTCCAACACCATTCCACATCATTTTTAAGGAGATTCGACAATGGTCTAGCCACTTCCGCATAGTTGTGGATATACTTATGCAAATAATTTGCCAGATTTAACCACTTGCGGAGGTCCTTCTGGCTCCTCGGAACCGGCCAATCCACTATGGCTTTGACCTTAACAGGGTCTGCCCGAATTCCTTGCTTCCCAATGAAGCATCCCAAAAAGGGAAACTCTTTTGCACCGAAGATGCATTTGTCAATATTGGCATTTAACTTATGCATCCTCATGCAACCGTGCACAGCTCGCAGGTGCTTGATGTGATTCTCCACATCAGTCTTGCAATTTTTGGCTCGACTATGGACGAATATATCGTCAAAGTATGTCTGTGCATACGCCCTATGGGGCCGAAACAACTGCGTCACCAGACGATTGAACGTTGCAGGTGCATTAGATAGCCATTGAGGCATCACTAACCACTCCCAGAGCATACCGCTCGGAGTGCTGACTGCTGTCAGCGGGATATCACTAGCTCGCATAAGCAGCTGGCAATATCCATCGACTAAGTCGAGGGCAATGTACATCGTACATCCCGCCATATTGTTCTGAAGAACATCCTTGCGAGGAATTGGTGTTTGATTCGAAATTTTGCTGCATTCGGCTTATTGTAAGCATGCACCATTCGCCACTTCCCATTTGGCTTTTTCACACAAAACGTGGGCGTAGAGTGAGGAGACTTACTCTCACGCACCATGCCAGCCGCGTGCTTCGCACGAAAGAACTCGTCAATGACGTCACATTGCTCTCGTGGCAGCGGCCACTGTCGCGTCACACAATATTTGGTTCCTGGAACCAAGTCAATTTTATGACGTACACCTCTATCTGGAGGTAACCTCGTAGGAGGTTCTCTGGAGACAACATTTCCATACTCTTTCAACAAAGGAAAGTAAGGATCCGATGGTTCCTTCAGGATCTGCGATCCACTGCGCGCATTCAGTGTCTTGTTGGTATCTACAAGATCTGCTTTATCCAAAAGCGATGAGGAGTTCAAATCCTCCTCAGGTCGTATAACGACCACTTCAGCGATGTTGCCGGACTGCAAGGCACTGCCAAACTCGGCAAAGGTCAACTCGTCCAGCTCTAACAGAGCACTTACTGCGGGTATAGCTGAAATAGCCACCGGCTCTTCAACATCCCCAGTCAAACCATTGACGAGAGTATATAGATGTTCGCTATCACCGTCACTCGCGATATTATCATCGCTACTAATGATGCTCTCAGCATCCGACGCATCAGCGTCCACAGGAGTACACGCCTCAAGGTCAAAGACCACTTCGTTTACTGACTGCACCCCACCTATTGGGTCAATGCCTCGTCATGAGGTGCTTGCACCTCGTTGTCCTCAAAGAAATAACCGTCATTTTTGACTTCACCTGACTTTCTTGGGTCAGTACCTCGTCGTTAGGTGCATGCACCTCGTTGTCGTCAAAGACAACATCCATTGATGACTTCATCCGGCCTTCTAGGCTCAGGTACCTCGTCACTCATGTCACTTGAACTCGTGTCCTGACATCTTGGCTTGCAGCCACCAAAACCACTCACGGTGTTTAATGATGTAACATCATTCTCATGGCACATGTCATATGTACCATCTAGTGGGTTCTCAACCACACTATCGACAGTCATCGGGCCTCGCCCAGGACTATTGTCCTCGCCACTTACAGTGTCACAAAGTCGAATATTCCGACATCCAACATATTGACCGACGCGGTCCAATATCCGCGCCAAAAGCGCTTTTGCTTCCTAGCAGAGGTGGGTTCACGACTCTCCGAGCCCCACCAGAAGCATTGCGCGTTGCGCCTAAGCTCTTCGACCTCCAATCAATACATGGTTTATGTCGTTCTAGCCATGTCATGCCTAGGATGAGGTCATACCTCGCATCCAGGTGTAAGACCAAACAGCGTTCCATGCTGTTAAAGTCCAAGAACTTTACATTTAAGTCCATCGGCACTTTAAGTACTGTAACACGCGTACCCGTCGCTAAGCGAACTATAAATGTGTCACTTTCACGCGCTACAAGCGCTTCAGCATACTGCTGACTACCTTTACGGTGGCACGGCGAACATAGTTGCCTGATGCCCCTGAATCGATCAAAATGGTCCATGGCTATTCAAAGCCCTTGACCGTCCCTTCGACGACTAGCAAGCCTGGCTTGCATTCTCGCTTTATTTTTGAGAGTTCGGGTCTCTTTGGGGCTGGACCCTGCTTACTTTTACCTCTTACAGGCTCAACAGAACTCAATTCTTCCCCAGTAGGGCGCTCTACGCCTACTGGGTTCGCCGTTCCCCGCGGCAAACCAGAGGGTTTACCCATGGGGCGTCGGCCCTTCGAGGCCAAATATGCCTTTCTTGCAGGGCATTTTGCCATCAAATGGCCTGTGCTCTTGCAGACATAGCATCTGCGCACAAATCTCTGCTCCGCAGCTTGAAGCCCAGCTTCTTCATCCTCCACTTGACTACAGTCCATGGCATGGGTACAGACCCATCACACGAGTAGTTATAAGTGGCAGGCCTAACGGCCTTACAGTTGGTATCGGCATTCCATGCCACTCCAACAGCTTCCTCAAATGAGGACGGGTTTACCCGGAAGACTTCCGTGCTGGCAACGCCAACTCGGGGGCCATCCATGAAGACCGTGACGGTCACTGCCTCAGGCATAGGGTCTATGACCATGGCAGCAATGAGAGTTCTCAACTCTTGTACACATGCCGCAATCTCACACTTTCCTTGGCGACACGCCAAAAACCGCGACTGGTTACGGTGTGCTCGGTTTGGCAGTGCATACTACCGGGTCATCTAAGCTTTCAGATCGGCCATGTGGGAAATGCATCTTGCAGTGTGCACCGTATGTGAGCGCCCACTAATTGGCTAACCACTCAGCTTACCCGTGGCAAAGCCAACACGGTATGGTTCATAGATGATGTCGGCTATAAACATAGCCGACTCAACCTGTCAGAACCAAAGCATAAGGTTGTCACCTTCTTTGCCGTCGAACTTATCGACTTCCATTTGTATGGGTTTTTGTCTGCAAACCACTTCTTGTGCCATAGTCGCCATGGGCGAAGGTGCAGAAGAAGGCATCTGTGCCTTTACATGCTCGACTAGAGCTTTGTTGTATTCATCAAGCATATGATTACGCTTGTTAACCTCTCCTTCGCCCTGGGCGATGAGATATTCCACGCCCTTAGGGCCAACGATAGGGAGCAGCTTCTGCAACCATTCCTGTTGTGTCTTTGACAGGCCACCCGCTGACATCTCATCGATGTTCATTCTTACACAGAGAAGTAGTCGCAAACCCAGGTGCGGGATTGACTACAAGTGCTACTAGGTGTAGCAGAGCTACTGTAGCCACGCGTTTCCCTTTTCCTCCCCCTCCTCCCCCTTTTTCCCCCTCTTTTTTCCCCACTTTTGCACTATGTGCAGAGGAAGACAATCTCAAAGAGCTTATATGTATTAGGACTCTTAACCATTACAAGGCTAGCTTCGCAAGCTTATGCCTTTTTGTCGTTAACAACCACGTTTCCAAGAGACTAGTATCAAAGATACAACTTCATTTATTTCAAGGATTAAGCTCTAGTTCGTATGCTATTCAGAGCATGTATGAGATGATATAAGTATGTTTAACTTCTAGCACTAAATACAGAAGCACCTACTCTACCAAGAGACTCGCTGTATGTTACTAGAACACGCTGGGAGCGCAACGGGTAAGGCCATACATTTCATCAATTTTAAGTTTACGTTAAGCGGCTGAAGTCGTATGAGTGTAAACAGCAGACTTGCCTGACGTCCCGTGAACGAATCCACCTGCAAATGGTACAATTTCCAAGAAGGACAACACAACAACACAATAGAGGGGTTTTGAAAGCATGTGCAAGAACACACCAATCTACAAGCTCAGGGGCGTTAGCGGTAGTAACATCAAGGGACCGACGGTTCTAAAGGGCCGACGTGGTAGCCGATACCTTATCAACTTCGTCGACTACTCGACGAATTGCGTACGCGTGTTCGTCGCCAAGAGAAAGATCGAGGCTACAAAGAATTTTAAGCACTTTCTACTCTATTACGAGAAGAGATTCAACTGTCGCGTCCATGTGTTGCGGACGATGGCAAGGAGTACGTCAGCGTCGATCCGTTGTGCAAGTCAGCTGGAGTGAGACGTCAACTCAGCGAGGCCGATAATCAAGCCTAAAAAATGGTAAAGCTGAGCAAATGCACAGAACTATCTCAACGCGGCAAGATGTATGCTGTTTTCGAGCGGCTTGCCTTTTTTTCTTTTGGGGCGACGCCGTCGAGTATGCAGCTTATGTTCTAAATCGAAGCTCGTGCAGTGCCAACCCGAAGCGTATGTCGCCGCTAGAGATGTTGACAGGTAACATATCGAATCTGGTGGACTGGTGATCTTCGGAAGCCCGTGCTCAGCGTTAAAGGACCCCGGAAAGAAATCATGGAAGTCAAGATTCCAGGTTGGCGTGGTCATTGCAAAAAACGATGAGACTAAGGGGTTCAGGGCGTATCTGCCTAAGTAGAGGACTGTTATTACAACGCAGCTCATTCGAAACGTTGATACGCTTAACAGTAAGCAGAACGCCCAGCTACAGGCGCAACTTGAGCAAGAAGACCCCTTCCTACTGCAGAATGTTGTAGAGCGCGACCGAGACCGGGAAGCGAAAGGAGTCTAACGCAGTAATTTCGCTGCAAGCAAAAGAGCGTCATCTACGCCAAAAAATGGATCTGCCACGTCAACACGGAACCCAGTCAAGTTGAATAGAAACTCGGCTTGAGTAGAGAAGGAACCTGCGGTGCAAGAAATCAACTGATTTAGCAGTAACGGATAGCGGGGACGAGCTACTGCCCGCGGAAGAGCAAACGCGAACTCGGATGCAAACTCGAAATATGGGTGCTAAACACGTACCGGTGAGTCGAGTGAGCGCGATCAATCTTAAAGATCCCAAGAACAATCGCGAGGCGGTCAAAGACCCTCGATTCACGAAGTAAGCGGAGGCTATGTGCACAGCGATTGAAGCAACAATGCCTGAGAAGTAATTTAAAAGGCTATGCGACTCCAAGTTACTGCACAGTAAATGGGTGTACAAGCTTAAAATACAGGCACGCGGTTCTATCGATCCATTGAAGGCAAATCTAGTGGCGCGCGGCGATGAACAAGTATATGGTGTTGATTGCACCTACACTTTCTTGGCTGTGATGGAAATGATCTCTGGCAAGGTGATGCTGCTGTGTCAAGGATATAGGGGGTACGGCGATGTGGCGAGGTTGTACAAAAGAAGTAATCGAGGTTTTGGCAAAATGCACAGACTATATGTTTAGGTCCTTAGTTCACAACCTCCCTAAGCCTACTCTATTCTTTCTGACTCAACGTTAGTAATAATCTTGTCACGCATTACTCATGCCGAGGCGCATCTGTGACAGCTCTTATGTCAAAGCAGATAGAAAAGATGACTTGGAAATTCTGCTTTATATTTCACAGGGAATGAATATAGATGCCAAGTACGAAAAAACATGGCGTGCGGGATAAGAGGCAGCTCACGCTAAGACTCAAGAAGCGCCTGTATGACCTTAAACAGTCGGGCCGGCTGTGGTACCTGATACTTCACGACGTCTGAGTATCGTTGGGTTTTAGTCAGTGTTATACAGACAATTTTTCTTTACATAAATACTGAGACCGACGGTAAGACACTCATAGGCATCATCTGTGTGGACGATGTGCTGGCGACTAGAACGAGTGTAAATAAGGTCGACGACTTTCTTAAAACGATGTTTAAGTCATTGAGTTGGAGGATCTCGGCGTTGTAAACCAAGTTCCTTGGCATCGCGTTCAATTACAGTCAAGACCGGATGGGCACTAGATCAAGAAAACACCATCGACGAGATGCTGGACAAGTTTGGACTTTGAGATTCGGCGGCGGTCAGAGTGCCGATATGTGGAGAGGACAGAGACGAAGAAAGTGCTTTGTTACAAAAATGGTGGCAAGTGGCTCGCCACAAAGGCCTACTGTGCAGACGCTTCAGTCGCTAGTGGGCATTCTGCTGTGGATCTACCGGTGCACACGCCCAGACATTGCGTTTTGCGGTACACCGAGTGACGCGGCGTTTACACGCGCCAAATGAAGGCGATTGGCGTTTAGCAAAGAAGATAGCCAAGTTCTGAAGGACACAAAGGGACTCGAGTTCATAATGCACGAAAGAAAGGACGCAATCAAGGACGACGACGTGCTGGTCGAAGCTTACAGTGACGCCGATTACGCCGCAGATAAAACTGACCGGAGGTCAGTCAGCGGCGGTGTGATGATGGCGGCCGGAATGGTGGTGGGATGGATGTGCAAGAAGCAGGAGTGTGTCGTCTTATCAACGATGGAAGTCGAGTTTGTGGCGGCTTCACAAACCGCTGCTGAAATGATGGGTATCATTGAACTGCTAAGGAGATTGACGTATCGGTTCAGCCTGGTTTAATATTGCATGTCGAAAATTAAGCAGCCATCGCTCAGATCAAAGGGAGAGAAAACAGCTGGTCGAGCGAAGCACATTAATGTGCGATTCAAGTTCGTAAAAGATTTGGAAACACAGAAGATCTAAAGGTGCAGTACTCGAATCCAAGAGTATGCGTGCGGACATACTGACCAAGACCGTTTTACCACACGACTTGGCCAGCTTCGCGGACTTGTGATGCTTTTAGGGTATGTGTGACCACTCGGGATGGAGTGTTGAAGGAGTACACTTCTGATTTTGAAGGAGTGCGATCCATGATAAAGGTGCGCGACCATCATAATGTATGAGTGATGACAAGAAACCTACGCAAGAAAAAACTAAAAGCAACGGACACAGAGATAGCTAGGATTATATGCTCAAATACATTTCGTTCTCAATTTACCATCCAAGTCTCTCACTCGACAGTACATCCTGCACTCTTTGCAATGCATCATACGCTCGATGAACGGATATACACAAAGGTGTGTATTTTACATACACACCTTCCACACCAATGTGGTGTGGCTGTACCTTGGGTACAAAAGTAGGTGATGTAACCGTACCTAAAGTACGAAGGGTCGCATCGTGGCAGAGAGCCACGTGGTCACTATATTATTTAAAGTATAGTGACTATGCATGTTTGCATAATAATAACAGGCTAAAGAGCCAGTAAATAGAGACTAGCACTAAGTATAGGATAGGTGCGTCTATATTTAGTGTTAGAAGATAAACATAAATATAAATCAGTGTCAAACCTGGTCTATAAGCATCACTGCTTGAGCATTCGATTCCAATAGAAGGAATCAGGATCTTTGATACTAGTCTCTCTACCGTCATTGGTGAAATACGTGTCATTGTATTACTAAAGGTGAAACTCCGTTATTAATACCATAGACACAAGCTTACGAGCTAGCCTAGGTGGGTTAAGCACCCTAAGACGTAGAAGCTCTCTGAGCTTGTCTTCCTCTGCACATAGTGCATAAGCAGCTTTGCTACAGTAGTTTGACTACGTCTTCTCGGCACGTAGTGCATCTGCACATAGTGCAAAAGTCGCGTGGCTACAGTAGCTTGGCTACACCTGGTAGCATGTGTAGTCAATTCCGCGCCTGGGTTTGCGACTACTTCTCTGTGTAAGAATGGACATCGATGAGATGTCAGCGGGTGGCCTGTCAAAGATACAACAGAAAGGGTTGCAAAAGCTTCTCCCTATCCTTGGCCCTAAGGGCGTGGAATATCTCATCGCCCAGGGCGAAGGAGAGGCTAACAAGCGTAATCATATGCTTGATGAATATAACAAAGCTCTAGTCGAGCATGTAAAGGCACAGATGCCTTCTTCTTCGCCTTCGCCCATGGCGACTATGGCGCAGGAAGTGGTCCGCCGACCAAAACCCATACAAATGGAAGTCGATAAGTTCGACGGCCAAGAAGGTGACAACCTTATGCTTTGGTTCCGACAGGTTGAGTCGGCTATGTTTATAGCCGACATCACCTATGAACCATACCGTGTTGGCTTTGCCACGGGTAAGCTGGGTGATTAGCCAATTAGTGGGCGCTCACATGCGGTGCATCACTGCAAGATGCATTTCCCACATGGCCGATCTGAAAGATTAGATGACCCGGTAGTATGCACTGCCATACCAAGCACACCGTAATCAGTCGCGGTGTTTGACGTGTCGCCAAGGAAAGCGTGAGCTTGAGGCATATGTACAAGAGTTGAGAACTCTCATTGCTGCCATGGTCATAGACCCTATGCCTGAGGCAGTGGCCGTCACGGTCTTCATGGATGGCCCCCGAGTTGGCGTTGCCAGCACGGAAGTCTTCTGGGTAAACCCGTCCTCATTTGAGGAAGCTGTTCAAGTGGCATGGAATGCCGATACCAACTGTAAGACCGTTAGGCCTGCCGCTTATAACTACTCGTCTGATGAGTCTGTACCCATGGACTGTAGTCAAGTGGAGGATGAAGAAGCTGGGCTTCAAGCTGCGGAGCAGAGATTTGTGCGCAGATGTTATATCTGCAAGAGCACAGGCCATTTGATGGCAAAATGCTTTGCAAGGAAGGCATATTTGGCCTCGAAGGGCCGACGCCCCATGGGTAAACCCTCTGGTTTGCCGCGGGGAAACGGCGAACCCAGTAGGCGTAGGGCGCCCTACTGGGGAAGAATTGAGTTCTGTTGAACCTGTAAGAGGTAAAAGTAAGCAGGGTCCAGCCCCAAAGAGACCCGAACTCTCAAAAATAAAGCGAGAATGCAAGCCAGGCTTGCTAGTCGTCGAAGGGACGGTCAAGGGCTTTGAATAGCCATGGACCATTTTGATCGATTCAGGGGCATCAGGCAACTATGTTCGCCGTGCCACCGTAAAGGTAGTCAGCAGTACTCTGAAGCGCTTATAGCGCGTGAAAGTGACACATTCATAGTTCGCTTAGCGACGGGTACGCGTGTTACAGTACTTAAAGTCTCGATGGACTTAAATGAAAAATTCTTGGACTTTAACAGCATGGAACGCTGTTTGGTCTTAAACCTGGATGCGAGGTATGACCTCATCCTAGGCATGACATGGCTAGAACGACATAAACCATGTATTGATTGGAGGTCGAAGAGCTTAGGCGCAACGCGCAATGCTTCTGGTGGGGCTCGGAGAGTCATGAATCCACCTCTGCTAGGAAGCAAAAGCGCTTTTGCGTGGATATTGGACCGCGTCGGTCAATATGTTGGATGTCGGAATATTCGACTTTGTAGACACTGTAAGTGGCGAGGACAATAGTCCTGGACGAGGCCCAATGACTGTCGATAGTGTGGTTGAGAACCCACTAGATGGCACATATGACATGTGCCATGAGAATGATGTTACATCATTAAAAACCGTGAGTGGTGTTGGTGGCTGCAAGCCAAGATGCCAGGACACGAGTTCAAGTGACATGAGTGACGAGGCACCTGAGCCTAGAAGGCCGGGTGAAGTCACCAATGGATGTTGTCTTTGACGACAACGAGGTGCATGCACCTAACGACGAGGTACTGACCCAAGAAAGTTAGGTGAAGTCAAAAATGACGGTTGTCTTTGAGGACACAAGGTGCAAGCACCTCATGACGAGGCATTGACCCAATAGGTGGGGTGCATTCAGCAAACGAAGTGGTCTTTGACCTTGAGGCGTGTACTCCTGTGGACTCTGATGCGTCGGATGCTGAGAGCATCATTAGTAGCGATGATAATATCGCGAGTGACGTTGATAGCGAACATCTATATACTCGTCAATGGTTTGACTGGGGGTGTTGAAGAGCCGGTGGCTATTTCAGCTATACCCGCAGTAAGTGCTCTGTTAGAGCTGGACGAGTTGACCTTTGCCGAGTTTGGCAGTGCCTTACAGTCAGGCAACATCGCTGAAGTGGTCGTTATACGACCTGAGGAGGATTTGAACTCCTCATCGCTTTTGGATAAAGCAGATCTTGTAGATACTAACAAGACACTGAATGCGCTCAGTGGATCGCAGATCATGAAGGAACCATCGGATCCTTACTTTATTTTGTTGAAAGAGTATGGGGATGTTGTCTCCAGAGAACCTCCTACGAGGTTACCTCCGGATAGAGGTGTACGTCATAAAATTGACTTGGTTCCAGGAACCAAATATTGTGTGACGCGACAGTGGCCGCTGCCACGAGAGCAATGTGACGTCATTGACGAGTGCTTTCGTGCGAAGCACGCGGCTGGCATGGTGCGTGAGAGTAAGTCTCCTCACTCTACGCCCACGTTTTGTGTGAAAAAGCCGAATGGGAAGTGGCAAATGGTGCATGCTTACAATAAGCCGAATGCAGCCACATTTCGAATCAAACACCAATTCCTCGCAAGGATGTTCTTCAGAACAATATGGCGGGATGTACGATGTACATTGCCCTCGACTTAGTCGAGGGATATTACCAACTGCTTATGCGAGCTAGTGATATCCCGCTGACAGCAGTCAGCACTCCGAGCGGTATGCTCTGGGAGTGGTTAGTGATGCCTCAATGGATATATAACGCACCTGCAACGTTCAATCGTCTAGTGACGCAGTTGTTTCGGCCCCATAGGGCGTATGCACAGACATACTTTGACGATATATTCGTCCATAGTCAAGCCAAAAATGGCAAGACTGATGTGGAGAATCACATCAAGCACCTGCGAGCTGTGCACGGTTGCATGAGGATGCATAAGTTAAATGCCAATATTGACAAATGCATCTTCGGTGCAAAAGATTTTCTCTTTTTGGGATGCTTCATTGGGAAGCAAGGAATTCGGGCAGACCCTGTTAAGGTCAAAGCCATAGTAGATTGGCCGATTCCAAGGGGCCAGAAGGACCTCCGCAAGTGGTTAAATCTGGCAAATTATTTGCATAAGTATATCCACAACTATGCGGAAGTGGCTAGACCATTGTCGAATCTCCTTAAAAATGATGTGGAATGGTGTTGGAACACCGAGCACCACGAGACTTTTGAAGCCGTCAAGGAAAGTCTCCTTCAGGCACCAATTCTGGCTTTGCCTGATCCTGGTCGCCTGCTTAGCGTCTTGTGTGACACTTCGGACTTTGCCATTGGTAGTGCACTCTTGCAAATTGACGCTGAGGTTCGAGAACGCGTCATCGCGTTTGAGTCTCGCCAGATAAAAGCTGCAGAGAAGAACTATCCAGTTCATGATGAGGAGTTACTTATGAAGTATGCCCTTGTTTAGTTCAGGGTACACCTGTTGGGCTAAAATCCGTTTGTGACCTATACCGATCATTCGTCGCTACGCACAGCGACGCAGTCGCCTCATCTCTCGCAGAGAATGGCTCGTTGGCTCTCTTTTTTTGCGGAGTATAACTTCGAGGTGAAGTATAAGCCGGGAAAACAGAATGTTTTGACTGACGCGTTATCGCGTAGACCTGACTATGAGCTCGCTCATTTCACTGTTGTGAGTTCGTCAGTCACGGATCGTATCCGTGTGGCGTATACACGCGATGTCATAATGGCAACACATGA